CAATTTCTGGTGGTGTATATTATCTCACTGTTTTAGTATATACTAAAACAACTATTCACCTCAGTGTCGGTGGTTAGCGGTGGATATTAACCGAGCCGCTTCGCGGCTCGGTAAATATCCACCACTAACCACCTCCACTTCGGTGAATAGTTGTTAATTATCAACCGGCCGTTTATTAGTTGATCCAATACCAAATTCTCAGAACAAACATCATGAGATTTGTAAAGCAGACAGAAAGGAGAATTACAAACGAGATCTTGGGAGTGAAATGGTTAAGTAAGAAAAGGGAAGAAAAGAAAACTCTTCCTGAAGCTGTTTCATAGTATGGAATACTGAGTATTGAATTGTTTATTAAGACAGATGTCTGTCTAATTGGTATTCAGGTAATTTAGTGATATCAACTAAGTTGAAATTGTAAACTGGCCACTGTAAAAAGTTGAAAGGCTGATGTTGCAAGTGCTCTGACAAGGGGCTAACGCTTGAAATGTCAGCTTTTTAACTCTTTACAATGGCCAATTTACAATTTGAACTTTGTTGTAATAATCAAGTTACGTTGTTACCCCCACCGATGCAGCACCTCAGTTTCTTCAGAAACTTCCCCCCCCCCTTATTAATTGGTATTCAGCAACTCTTTCACTGCCACAAGAGACCCACGGAAAGTCTCTCCTTACAGTATCATACGTTGTAGTACCACATACCCAATCATAATTGTGAGAGATTTGGATTGATTTGACACCAAATCAGTATTGAATTTTTATTGAAATCTTGGAATTACAAGGTTTAAGAGAGGGAGGTCGACTGTATGAAGAAAAACCAAGTAATTTTGTTCTACCTACGAAAAGGTTAAGATAAGCTCCTAGCTTGCCTCATAATTATGTTTTCAATATGACTGTTTCCCCATTTCCAAGGAGAAATATTCTACAAGTACACGTAACTATAGTTACTAGTAACTCTCCATGTATACAGTCATGTAGTAAACTTAAAACTAAAGTGCACTTTTTTCTTTCTTTCCTTAAATTCTGATCTGCTATTCTGATGTGTTGGCCACTTTGATTGCAGTTCGATGTTCACCAGCTTATCACTTTGTATTTTGATGTACTGTATGTCTCACAGCCAAAGAGTGGAATACATACATCTTATTAACCAAGCGCGAGGGCCATACTGGGAGAATATCGGCCCGAGGTCCATACAAAAAGGACTGAGGGCCGATATTCTTCCGGTACGGTCCCGAGCAAGCTTGGTTGATAAGAGATTTATTATACGACTGAAGTTCAAAGGGACACAAGTGTGGTATCATTCGGGACCATTCGGGACAGTCCCCGGTCCAATACTTAGAGACGTAATCATGCGAAATTCAATGACGAGATCGTCCGAAAATATTTTACCAAGTTGTATTAATTTCAAAATGAAAATTTCCTCTCTCCTACGCGCAAAACTGACGCTATATTTTGCAGTTTGTAATCGGCCTAGTAGTTTTCCGCGGCGCAGCCGGTGAGTGGCTTCTCAATCCTACTTTCAGCTTCTTCCCGCCTGGGAGTTTTTTGAACATAAATGATTATAGAAAAGACCCCAACTAGAGGGCATCGAGGATAATTCGAAGTAATTATAAGAATATCGTGTGCCTCTCAATCCTTTTAAAATCAAGTGCTATCGAGCAAAAATCTTATCGTTTGGCGGGTGTGACTTGGTTTTGATTGACATTCTATTTGATTGTTATGATGAG